CCACAATATGGCTTGATAAAGTGCCAAATGGTATGATATCAAGTCGGGACGATCTACCAAAAGATCCCGAATTGTGTATCAAATTAAGTATGCAAAACTTACATCTCTCCTAGTTCCGAATACTTCCGGCAGTATCCTTTGAAACTGACGGAAAAGTTTGCGTGCTTGCTTACCGTCGTTAGTTTTCATTAATTTTAGCCGGTTGTAATATTTATTATCCCTAAACAAATCGTACCCGAACTTTCTTACCGCTGCATACATAACATACCTCGGTGAGATGGTACCATCTGGGTTGGTCTTCAATGCGTCCGGAAAGAACGTTCCATACGTATTTCGAGACATCCATGCCCTGTTGCTGTACCAATGACATTTACCGGAGACTCGTTCATTTGAATCTATCACCTTGTGTCTGAGGTTTATCAAATACATCGAATTTGTGGCATATTACTGCAACGAGTAGCAGTGTCGTCATAACATCTCCTATTAATTTAGTGCACTACCGTTCACTATAGCTGGCCGGCCGAAGTCTTCGAAACACTTATAGATGCTCTCAGCCACAGTTTGAGTTGACTTATCATTCAGAGGATATGGCACGTTATATCTAGAAGCAGCATCAAACACGTGACAGACATACTTATCTTTCGCGTGTTCGAACAAGAGTAGCCACGGCTCGTTTTCAGATACGCTTTGCATAGGCGCATACTGTAGCGTTTGATTCGGTATCGTGATACATTTGAGATATAAATCTGCTTAAGCATCGAGTGTACAATACTGCACCTTTGCGATCTTTCTCGGTTAAGAGCATGTCTTCACCCTTTCAGACTAGCTGCCTCAGTTGATTCTGTAGTATTGAAATCAAGAGGTGGGGATTCCACTGCGACATCACTTGAACTCAAAGACTATTTTAGTCCTACTTCACGTGAAGACTCAAAGGTATGTAGTATCTGGGCAGCTTGTATGGGTAGGAATTCGTTTGTCAGTTGCATAAGTAGCCTGGTCTCAGCTTCATAAGCAGTAGCTCTGTCTGAGCAAATCTTTTTGTAGAATCCTTTTGCTAGTGATGCACTTCTTTTTGATTCTACCGAATCATCTCGTATCTGATATCTCAGTATTACATGTAGCAGGTGCTTGTGTTGTCTTGGTCTCATCTTGAGATCAGCAATCTTGGATTCTCAACTTTTTTTTCAAAGGGTTCAGATGGTGCCCACTTGGTTGTTTCAACAGGGCATTTTATTCTCAGCCTTCATTTTAAAGGTTTCAGATAGTGTCTACTTGGCTGTAAGGGAAAGCATCTACTATTCAACTTCTCTATCCGAATGTAGAAATACGGCCTCTGGTCAGTCTAAAATGTCAAAATCAATAAAATAATATTGGTGGTTTTATCTGTATTAAATATTCAAATACATGATTGTTTTCCATGAATCTAAGCGTTCTAAATCCAATTTGGTGGCTCATATAGTCTGATTATTTGGTATGACTACATATATACTTGGCTATAATAGAACAACAGTAGATGGAAATTATTTGTTAACTATATAAATTCTGAGCTACTACTTATAGTTTTCGTCCTCCCGCGAATTCCAAATTCAACAAGCCGTTTCCTTTTTCAACTGTTCTTCAGAAGAAACTTTATTTAAAATGACTAATGTATTAACAAGGCTCACACACCTCAAATGACCAATGTATTATAAAGGTTCACATACCTCTACCTATCTACAATGAAGCGATGTGAGCTAGTGAAAATAATTAATAGAGATGCTAGAGGCACGTTGTGTCTCACCAAGACGCAACCACGAGCTACCACTGCCAAATGGCACCTAAATTTAATTGTCTTATATTTATTGCAATGTAGTAGAACTATGAACATTTTCTCTGAAGTTTATAAGAACCGATTTGTTGATCCACTTATGTATCTGGATGTCTTAAGAGACAATGCAACTGTGTGATGACACAGTTCAGCAACAGTGGTATAAACAACTACGGTGGGCTTGCTCATGCCCGGTTAACTCGATTTGAAACGTATCATCTTCTATATGTTCCAGAGTTTGGCATTCCGATTATACATGTTGCCTGCGATCTAAAATCATCTACGATTGGCTTTCCAATCCGTAGCTATTATCTTCCGTACTATCTTATTAGAATCCGGTACAAAGCGTGACAACATATTCGAGAAGTGATTGTGTATCTCAGGAATATGTCATGCCCATGGATAAATTCGCGATCGTATCATACCACTGACTAATCTTGGTTTCATATTCTTTAAGTGTTGCAATGATTTCTGATCACATAGTACATTGAAGTGTGCACCATATAAGTAGTCCTTAGAATGAGTGAAGAAACAGTTGGGTTAGTGATTTGTGACGAGTTCATAGCCCTGCCTAAAAACTGCACGTATCTCGGTTTGTTACTAACTATTTGATACGGTACATCTCCGAGTATCATCGGATGCGTCTGTTGCTATCATGAACGGTACTCCATCTGTTGCTGGCTGAACTACCGATGCTTATTGAATCGCTAATTTGTGTTGCTTAACGACATCATCACAGGTCTTGGTCCATTAAGTTTTTAATTTGCCTTTGTGACATCTTGGATGCCCAAAAGTCTTAAGGTAACTTGCTAAATGAGGAACCCCGTCCGACAGGAAGTTGAAAAAACAACCACACATGCTGTTCAAATCCTTTCCAGTGGTAGGTTACCTCCAATCCGGCAAGTGTTTATTGGAGTGTAATAGGTAGTTTATACTTTAAATAAGGTGCAATTTTTCTTTATTTCTGACCTCGCTTTAGGTTTTATACCTAAGTTGTTTGTGCTAGTGTTCAACCGCTTGGAATGACCAGGCTAAAAGCTCATATGGTCATCATGAGAACCCTTCTGCAGCACTATTTAATAATTCGATACTATTCTATTTGACTTCTCTGCTGTTCAATCTCATGCTGATCAGAGTATGGTCTTCCGCTTTGGTTGTGACTCGTTTCAGGGCGCAACTATTTTTATATTGTTGCGGTTAATAAACTTCATCAACTCTCGGGAGTCGGTTGAGAAACTTCATCAACCGCCGGCAATCGGGCAAGAAATTACCTCAAATTTCAGGAGTTAGTTAAGAAACTTAAGTAGCTCTAGGAAGTGAGCTAACTCTATTGATTTCTAGTGAGGGGGGGGTTTTTTTTTGCTGTAAAATCTGGTCTGACTTGCTGGTCTGCATTTGTTTTAGCACAATGTAACATTTCATTATGCAGATTTATTTAAAGCCGGTACCCGGAGCTGAGGTCGGCCGCACATTTAATAACGTGAAGGATGTCTGGCGCATCTATTATCGCCGTGTGAACATAAATTTATTTTTATAAACTTATGCAACAGCGCTCAATAGCAAATGTATTTGCTATGTCATGATGCAGATCACATAGTATTCTCCCAAATTGTCTCTCTATGCCCCTTCAACCTTTACAATCTGCCGTGGCGCGCTGGGTAATCGTCTCCCCACCACAAATTAGTGGCTAGTGCCTAGGTAAAATCCATCAATAGTGACAGCGACCGTACAAAGCAGCAAGCTAAAACATAAAACGTTGAATCATCAACAATATATGGTTAATAAATTCCTACACATGCTACACTATTTTTATAGCCACCAGCTACATCACTCTTGTAATGGTGAAAATCGAGTATTAATAGTGTCAGCCATATCGGACATAGTATGACTAAAAAGGTTACACTGTCATCCAAAAATTATCGAAACATCCTCGCGCTGGTGGTCGCTGAAGTGCCAAGGTCATTTTTTAAAATCAGTAGCAGTTCGAGCACCACGAAGTTTTTATGATCCCAGCGTTTGCTATAGATACAGCATCTAAATATTGTATCAGCTTGTGGTACTGCAGGGCACTGTACTAACTTGTATTCAAAAGCAAAGGAATCATGTAGCCACATCTCAGCCGCAATGTTTGAAACAAGTTTTGATAATAAATTGTAGTACTGGAGGGCGACATGGCAGTGTTACAGTAGTTTACCTGTAATCTATGAAAGCCCTATCTATGACCTCACAGAATAATCAATACAAGAGCACATCATATCAACTTCCAGCTGTCGCAGCTACCCGGTATGACCCTAAATATTTATAACTTCGGCGTTTGCAACGTCCATTCGAGATATATGTAAATCTATATAGACTTGTAAATTTGCTGTAAAACCAATCAAGTAGTACTGATTGATCACCTGCTTTCAGCTCAAATAGCAACATAATGATACACCTTGTCAGATTCTGTAAAGTGACAATGAAGTGAATACGGGAAACTATAGGTTTTTAGCAATATTGATCCGGTGGGATTTATCAAAATTGATCAGCAATTGACAATTTACTATGCTCGTCATCAACAAAGCACAATCATGATTACGCATTCAAACTTTCTGCCTACTTGACGAATATAAAATTTTATCAACTCGACGATGTCCTCTGTCGTCAAGCTTCAATTTTTGGATTACAGTTGAAGTTTATCGTTTAATGGCGTGTGTTTTCACCCATTCAGCCGCGCGCTTGTTGAAGGCTGCGATGTCCTCCACATACAGCTTAGCAGCCTCATTATTTATCGGATCGGATGGATTCGGTTCGTCTATCAGATTAGCGATGGCGGCAAGCACTACAAACAAGTAAGGAGAACAGATTGATCCCGATTTATGAGCTATAGTTGATATGTATACAACAGCTTTCCAGTAATCGCCTAGATATGGTGGTGTACAAATTCAGAGCGAGCGTGAGATCAGGCTTCACGCAGCGTACTTTAGAATGCGATAAAACCATTAAAAAGCGCTTCAATTTAAAAGTACACATCCTTAGCGGACTGATTGCATTGATAGTGAGCCCATTTTTTCAGCCAGAATAGGATAGCTTGTGTAAGGAACGAATAACTACACCAAATCTATCAACCAGTCTCTAAGCTGGACAACATCGCATGTACTTCACGAGGTTGAAAAGCATACACCGTCACACACTATGTTAGATCTGAGACTGAATCATACACGTTCTCAAACCAATACTACCTTGTGTAACGTTGGTGGCAGGCTTCCAATTGTCAGTCTTAAGTAGACCTAAACAGACAGCCCCCTTCTCATCAATGTTGGGGTGATAGATCTTTGTAAGAAATTTGACCTAATGTAAGGAACGACGTTTATAGACAGGAATTCATAGGAAGAGAGGTTTAAACCCCTATTATTAAAATTGCGGACTACCAGGCTACACAAACTTAAAGTCTTCTTCTGCGGCAATCTGGCGTTTAAAGTAGCATCAGCCAGTGGAGGCACCAATTGTCTGGCACAAAAAGAACATAACAATCAGTATTAAAGTGCAGCCCATATTCAAGCAACAAATACTGGATATAATATAAATTCTAATCCGCATGTACTACATATATATAGCTGATGGCGGTAGTTGAGATCAGTGTTCAGACAGAACGCCAATCAGATTTCACATTCAGGGTTATGTAAGCAACAATAACTCATTTTACCCATTTAGTGACTCACCGAAGGTGCCTTAAATGGATAATTAGGCGGGAAAGTGATTGTGTATTTGAAAGCACCCCTGTTGAAAGGTGCCACTTGAGGTAGGAGCGTGACATTCCACATGAGTATGTTGTCATCAGCACATTCCACTGTGTCATAGTGTGGCATTTCACTCAGGTTGCCCGTGATAGCAGCCAACTCCTATTCAAACGGGGAGAAATGTGTGTCAATACAAAGTGTCCAACAATGATGTCAATTTAAAATGGCACCACTCAAAAGCATTAGCAAAAACCACCGCAAAGCAGAATGAAGTGTTTGTAAAGCATTCGCCAAAGTAGGTCACTATGTGACCATTACAGGTAGCCACTAATTATCGATACGTAAACGCAGACGAATAAAAGTCATCAATGATTAAAGGAATATTATGCAAATACAATGAATACATTGACGTATAATAAAGTAGTCCGGATTCATCCACCATAGTACTCGAAAGCATATATATGTATATATATATATATATATAAACACACACACACACACACACACACATACATATATATATACACACATACACACACACATACACACACACATACAATATATATATATATATATATATATATATA